ATCATATAAAGAACTGAAAAGAACTCCAGAACCGAAAATAAGAACTGAAGAGTGCCGGGGAGGGTGATGGATGGATACTATCCTGCCCCTGCTATATCTAACCTGGTATCAACTAAGTAGCACTGACAAACCTTAACCAACGCCTACGCCGAAACATTCCAGCCCAGAAACAATATGAAAATCGTAAACATCGCGTGTCGAAGTGGGAGCCATGTTTTATAAAGAAGAAAAAAAGGATAAAACAAAAAAAAAAAAAAAAAAAACTAGGTAGTCACTTGATGTACCGGCCGCGGGCGGATGGACCCAAAGCCCTTCGAGAGCAGCTCATGCATGTCCAACGACCGTCGAGCCCTCAGCCCCTTCGTGCTGTTACTGTTGTTGCTGCTGCTCATCCTTGGTCCGCCGTTCGATCAGTTTCTGGACCTGCATCTCGTCTTCTTCTGCTTGCCCTGCCTCCACGTCATTCTTTCTCTCTCCAAGGCGCTCGACTTCCCATCCCTGCGCCAACTCCGAAGCAGCCGCCTCTTCAAAACGTCTCTTCACATCTCGATCTTTCTCATACCCCTGGAACAGATCCACATCCGTAGGCCACAGCGTTTTGCGCACTGTGGCGATAGTAATCTCGAACAAGATTATGATGACCACTATCACAATCAACGTCATCCACCACAGCGCATTCTTCCCGGTCACGTGAATAAAGTTGTTGCGCACGTTATAGATCTCCGAGTGCTTGTACTGCTCCGACAGGATGATGTTCCATAACCACCACCCGCCAATGGACAGTACGAGTGGGATGAGCGTCAGAACCGTGTGGTTGTGGATTTCGAGGAATTGGAGCTTTAGGTTGATGATGATCACGCAGGCAGAATAGGTGAGCAAGCCCATCGCGAAGATCCCATTGTCGACGGTGAAAATTGCGTCCCCAAACAGACGCATCATGACAAAGTAGACCAACATTGCCTCACAAGCTGCTACCGTAGCCCATCCAAGATAGACTGGAATATTGAACCCTTCGTTACGCTGACCTTTAGTGTACAGCTCTGGAACGGCGAGAAGCGTACTCGCTGCAAGATCCTTTTCAAATATACCAAGGAATATCACCGGTAACGAGGTGAAAAGCGTGTTGAACATGCTTAAACTCCATGGCTCGTATAAACTAGTACCTGTGTACCCGTTCCAGCGCTGGAAGAGTGCCTGCGTGAGGTAGAACAACGTCTCTTTCCAGAAGGTGCCCAGCGTATACTTGCACACACGCACATAGTTCCATCGTCCATGGACCAAGAGCAGTTTCAGCAGGAACCTGAACTGTGCAATTGAGTAGTCCGATATTCTGGCTGCCTGGAGTCCCTCTTTACCCGTGATTCCGATACCAACATGGGCTTCTTGAATCATGGCGATATCATTCGCTCCATCACCTATCGCAAGAGTAATGGCACCGTTGACCCGTTTGCGAATCGAGCGGACGAGGAATGCTTTTTGCTTGGGACTCGCGCGGCAGCATATCACTGAATCCGCGCGGATGGCCAAGTGGAAGAAGTGCTCTCTCAGAGCTTCATCGCCCTCGATGACGGATAGAGTCTGTCCATCCACCACAATGACAGAGTGCGCCACGCCGCCAGTGCTGATACTCTCTATTGTAGAAGCAATGGTCTGCTTTACCGTCCCAGTCTCATGGTCCAGAATGACGACTGCCGAATAATCCTTAACAAGTCGGCATGAGTGACCGATATTAATTGCCGTCTCGCGCTTATCCCCCGTCAACATCCAGAGTTTGATGTTTGCCCGTCGCAATTTATCAATAGTCTCCGGAACACCTTTCTGAAGTTTATCTTCTATTGCTGTGGCACCAATTAGCTCGAGTTGCGTCTCAAGCCGCTCACCCGCCTCGTCAATCTTTTCTTGCCGATTAAACAAGCTCACTGTTGCTTCTTTATAGACCTGTTTCCACTCTTTATACTCTGACTCCCCAATAAACCGGTATGCATACAAAAGGGTACGTAACCCTTCTGTTGCGAAATCATTCAGATGCTGGAAACAGCGCTCAAATACCAATGGCTCGTTCGTCACCAGGGATTCATCAACCAGTTCTTCATCTGCGGCCCCATCATCGGTCTGAAATGAGATACGTGGACTTCCCCTGCCACCAAGCTGCACTGATGGCCGCGGGCTGTAGTTATACATTTCATGCCTGTCGTCTATGATATCTAATCCGCCGTCTGTCTCACGGTCACGTAGCCACACATCGATGCTCTGGCGAATAGACTGGCCCTGATTACCCGAAATGCTAGAGCGTCGGCCTGCAAAGCTGGATCGATGGATGCTGAGACTTTTCCTCCCACCACGAGAGATATGTTCACTATTCCGACGGATAATTTCCATACTCTCCATTGCCTTGCGTTTACTGGCACGACGCTCTATTTCCTGGATCTTTTCACCAGCCAGGGAAGCCTGTTTCAGGAGCCGAGTGATGGTCGAATCAGCTCCTTTTGTAAACACACAAATTCTCCCATCTGGCAAGCGTACAACAACTGACATGCGTTTCCGTGAGCTGGTAAACTCAATTATATCTAAAACTTCGTATGTCTCTTCAATGATGTCATCGTTGCTGCCTTCCGATCGTCGAAGGGTGATGCTGTTTGGCTGCCTGTCAGAGACAAGATACCCCAGCTCTTTTGCAGCAGTGACGAGGGCAACTTCGTCCGGTGATGCGGCCTGAAACGAATACTCACCATCCTGCCCGCACTCCGGCAAACAGGTATGGCATAGGGCCATGGCGATGATGAAGAATCGTACCCTCTTTGCGAATAGTGTGTGCGGCTTTTGCATAACGTATTGCAGCATCTCTGTGGTCTTTCCACCATGGTATGAACGAGATTTCTTGCTAGGTTTCCACGGCCCCAATTCATGGGTGGTTGTTTGGGAGACACCAGACGGTCTGGATATTCCAGATGGCCGACCCATGTTTTGATCACCAAATGACTTTACGCGAGCAGATTTCTTGCCCTTGCTGTGACGGCGGAGGAGTAGTTTTTTTGTTGCCTCATCAGCAGCTTCCTGGACTAGATCAGGGTCATGAAGCCAAGCGGTTCCAGCAACGCTCATCTTGCGGAAACGCATCGAGTTATCGGTCAATGTGCCGGTTTTGTCAGAAAATACATAACTATGCCTGTTAGAAATAGCCTTTCAGAAATAACAGAAGCTAGAAAACATACCTAATCTGCCCAAGTTCCTCATTGATTGTCGAAGTTCTGGCTTCTAGTGGCGTGTTCGACGGCTCATCATACATGTCGACATCATTCAATAGAAACATCTGAGCCACCTTGACAATCTCTAAACTCACATAGAGTGAGATAGGAATCATTGTGTTCAGCATGATTAAAAAGGAGGTAAATATCGGACCGTATGAAACATTTGCTCTTTCAAGGTACCACGACATGCGTTCCGTGCTGCGAGACCAGTATTTATATGCAATCGTACATGCACCTGCTAGAGCAACCACAAAGACGACGATAACAGCCACGACGCGGTTGACCATATTTTGAAGTGCTGGAGCTTTGATACGGGGGTTTTTAGTGGCATTCATGCGGATTTTGCATTCTTCCCCCGTATATATCACCATTCCAATTGCCTGGTGAGTATTGCGGAGGATACTACCACGGTAAACGACCTCAGTATTAGTCAGGGGTGCGGTCTCATCTCCTACTGTAACGTTCCCTTCAAACTTGTAAAGGTCAATGTTTGGATCTTCGAGTACAAAGTGGGTTGACCGGTCATTGATAATATCATCCACTGTGCCAAACGTTTTAGCAACAACAGGGCATGGTTTCTTGCTTTTAAGATTGGTTTCGCCATCTAATGCCATCGTTTCGATGTATGCTATCCCATTGGGATCGTTGGCATGCAGTAAAACGATGTCTGCAGGCACTGCCTGGTCACGCTCAAGCTTTATAATATCACCAACCTGTATGTTTACCCATTTCACATTCATCCATGGTTGTGAGTGTTCTGTGGACTTCGAGTTGGCATCACATGCTGTTTTTGGCAGAGACTCGTAACATTCATCTTGCATCTCCTGGGACGGACGCAGTACAGATGCAATTCGATTATTCTCTTCTTTATCAAGTCGATATCGACGGAAGTCATCGTACCCTTCTTTACCGATCGAGATTCCCACGAAGATAACCAAAGGTACAAAAGTGGTGAACGTGCCCGTGGTGCTTAGGCCAGGTATCATTTGCAGGATCGCAACGCATAGAAAATAGAAATTTGCAAGTTTCGAGAACTGCGCGATTAGTTGACGGGGCAGGAAACTCCATATGCTATACCGACTTGAGCGGATCGTATTGGATATATAGTGCTTTCCAGTGCGTTCATCAACCCGAGGTTTAGTGTTATGAGCATCGAGGTCAATGTGTCTGCCATCAGCGCTTGGGGGGATATCTTTTATACGTAGGACGTGCGTCTTGAATAAGGAAAGAAGAAGAATGAGCCAGCTATTTATGGTGTGGGTTATGGAATACTTCTTCACTCGTTTGGTAGTTATGAAGGAAGTCGCTGAACTCAAGAAATCCGGCTGCTGAGGCAAGGTCCCATAGTCATCTTTTTCCGCGGTGAGCTCATGAGATATATCACTGCCAATGGTCTTTTCGTCACCCTGCCCGCTTGTAGAAGCCGTATTGTGTTCCAAATCAGTTTCTTCCGGCGATTTTGATATAAGGCTCCGGTTGAAGAGAGCTCGACGAAGTGAGTATCCTCGGTTACGGTTTGAAGGAGCTACCTTGAGTACGGCCGGAGTAGTAATTGTCGGAGACGTATCAGAGTCTGAGTCGGTGGCCCTCGTAGATGACGTAGCCTGTTCAACTCGGTCAATGTCGGTCGAAAACCGTACTCGATGGAGGGACTGTCTCGGCGGATCAGTACCAGGCACATTTTGAGGTGACTGCTCTTGTCTACTGGTATCTCGCAACACTATGTTTTTATCCCCCCCGATGCCTCCGTTTCCCGTGTCTGTAGGTATCGCTTCCCCATCATTGCTCGACTGTCTTAACGGGGAATTGGGTGTCTGACGAAGCGAAGAGCTGGACGAAGTCCTCGATCCCAGACCACTTCCTCCAGCCATCTCTCTCTCCCCGGAAGAAAGAATATATGGGACTGTTTTTCCTTCAACTAAATCTGGGGCTCAGAAACCGGGTGATCTCGCTCTTTATTATGAGTTCTTTAGCAGCGTCAAGTGTGTTTCACGGAAGCCACTGCTTAGTTCTCATTCTGATAACTCGTTATCGAAAACGATCGAAGGATCTTCAATGGAAGCGAGCCAGCGCTTCACGGCCTATCAAAAACAAAGAGAGAAATATATTCTCATTAAATGAAGAGAAAGACAAGCTGAAAAAGAGGCAGAGAGGGAAAAGGAAAAAAAGTCGAATCGCTTGATAAAAACGCTATGGGTCAGGCTTGTCCTATGGTATGGTAGGACCCCCCTCCATCCGACGTAGGCGTTCTTGTCTCGAGCAGCCACAGATCGCGAGTTGGTGTATCCTCTTCCCAATCGCCAGGCCCGCCAGCTCTTGCATAATACCTGTATTATCGTTATCGTGAGGGAAATATTCAACTCTCCGCCGGCAGCCTCGAGTTTGTCTTGTCCTTGCTGCGTTTTTTCTTGCCTGAGACAAAAAAAGATGCGATTAAAATAGAAAAAAAAAAGAGTCTGACGTAACCAGCGAATTGCGTGTCCCGACACCTCGGCTGAGTCATCTAAGACAGGCACATGACGTGAGCATGACAGGGGTGAGAAGTGGGTCCCTCCTCCATTTCCAACCAATAAAAAGGTGTTCTTTGATCTCGGCGCATAGTTAGCGCATGATGCGGGAAGTTTGGCGCCGCATGCGCATTTGAGTGGGTGAGCGCGCTTGATTCCGTTCATGCGGCAGCAAAGCCACAAACCCCAGCTCATTATACGGTGAACGACGCCGTGTTAGATATTAAATGTGTATTTCATTCTGTTTGCATAGTAAGGTCCTTTAGTCATACATTCCTTCCCCCCCTGGATGTGCAGACTGGATTATTGCTTCCTTTGCAGATAAAAGAATAAAAGAAAAAAGTCCAAGTACATGATAGGGATAATAAATATCAATGGGCCACAGGCCATATTAAGAGATAGAATCAGAGACTAAAAGACCTTAGGATAAAAGGAAACGAAACGACCTAGGCCCTAGTAACGGCCTCCTGGTGGTGGGGCACCATATCCGCCTTGTGGAGGATAGCCTGGCCCGCCCTGAGGAGGGCCAGATGGAGGACGACCATAACCACCTTGTTGTGGTGGTTGTCCGTAACCGCCTTGTGGTGGTGGCTGGTTGTAACCACCTCCAGGATAGCCACCTTGTGGGGGAGGCTGTTGACCATAGCCGCCGTACTGCCCCTGTGGTGGTGGTGCATTGTACTGTCCGGGTGGTGGCCCTCCAGGAGCGCGCTGGGTTTTCTCGTCCTTGGTGTCGTAAGAGGAGTCAATTGCGCCAAGCATCATTTTGGCAAGCTATGATTTGAAAGTTAACATTGGAAAATTCAATCCGGCTTTACACATATTCGATGGCTTACCCAGAGCTCGGGAGTCAAATCGACAGGAGGGTTTGCACGAGACATTTCATCCTGTTCAACCTCAAAGTCTAGAAGGATTATTAGTACACTCCTTTTTTCACACCGAGTCTATCTGAAAAGATAAAACATACTGGAAGTACAGTCGACAAGCTCGCCAATACCGGGCTCCTCGTCAAGCTTAGATAAGAACTCTCTGGCCTTCAAATCGTTTCCGACCTGAGCAAACTGGAAGGAGACAGCCCCGCGGCCGTATCTTGGGTTCGATTGCAGCTCTTGGGTTGCGCTACGGATGGCGTCGAATACGGCACCCTGAGCTTCTCCAGCAGGCTGGCCATCTGTGACTGTAATGACCAAGACAGGCTTTCTAAGCTGACCTGCTCTGGCTGGGGAGAGGACCAGCGGCTCCAAAACTTTGTTCTTCAGGCTGGTTCCCATGGGGGTGAGGCCCTTAAATTGCATACGCTGCATAAGAGCTTCGACTTGTCCCTCATTCCGGATATTGTTACCCTGTTCGTTGGAGTTCATGAAGCGAACCTGGATACCGTCATCATCAAACAAGGAGGTGGCAAAGGTAACGCGTGAGATAATGAGCTTGAGATCTTTGATACGTTCACCATTTTCCTCAAACTGCATAGAGCCACTGTCATCGATATAGAGAACCACATCGAAGAGGGCAAGCTTGACGATATCTTGACCAACCTCGCGAGGAACACGCCATGCAGCGCAGAGCTGGTCCACCTGGCTACTGATCCTGCTCAAGATCTGGTCAAGAGCAGGCGAGTTTGGCGGGTACATGCCCTGTAATTGCTTCTCATTGATGCAGCTCTGGAGAACCTGCCTGTACGCGGCTTGCTGCTGAGGGTTTGGAGGGCCACCGAATTGTTGTTGGCCTTGTTGGCCTTGTTGACCCGGAGGGTAGCCTGGCGCACCGCCTTGGGGAGGATAGCCGGGTCCTCCCTGTGGAGGATAGCCGGGTTGGCCTGCACGGAATTGGCCCGGTGGGCCTTGTCCCTATAAGAAGAAGGATGGTTAAGGTAAAGAACAGATATTGTTGAGAGTTTTTTTTTTTAAAAAAAAAGCCAAAACCGGATGAACCAAATACTCTGAAAATAAGAAACTGTAGAAAAGAAAAACACGCTGGAAGAGAAAAAAACGAACGTATTGAGCCTGGTTAGGGGGATATTGCTGCCCGTAAGCTGGTTGCTGCGGTGGTGCTCCATAGGGCTGATGTGGCTGTCCATAGGGTTGTTGTTGTCCATAGGGTGGTTGTTGCTGTCCATATGCGGGCTGCTGACCATAACTAGGCTGCTGTTGACCATAAGCAGCCTGCTGGCCATAAGCACTCTGTTGGGGAGATTGTGGTTGTTGCTGGTTCCTATAGTAAGGATTTGGTGTTCCACTCTGCGGGGGAGGCGAGGCGCTCCAAGGAGGAGCTTGAGGCTGAGGACTGGCCTGAGAGCATCTTCGCGTTAGGCACGTTTATGGGAGTTCGGGATTGTTTGTTTTCTATGGTCATGAACCGGGCCAGTAAGGCTCACGCTCAAGAGCATAGTATTTTATTTATTAATCCGAGAAACAGGCCCATGACGTCACAAAAACGAAACGAAAAAAAAAACCAAAATGATAATGATGACTCGCGGACGCAGCAGAAGCATGAGACGTAACAATGGAAGAAAAATATCAAGCAGTGTTGTCCGTGGGAGGAGCCGCGTCAAGGGGGGCGCTTACTTGAGATGGAGGGCCGCCAGAGCCGGGGTATGCTTGATATTGTTGTTGTCCAGGCTGTTGAGAGAGGAGAGAGAAGAGTCAGCAATACTTCTCCAGCATCGAAGAAGAGAACGAAGAGCCCCCTTATCTTTCGAGAGAGGATATATAAAAAAAGGTGGTGTATGTAACATACGTATCCTGGAGCACCGCCTGGAGGAGGGGGACCGCCGGGATAGGAGGAGGGCGCGCCCTGGTTGGCAGCAGCCATTTTGGAAGCGAGCTACAGCGAGAGACCAAGGCCAGATTGTCAGTTATGAGCAGTAATAAAATAGATAAGAAATAAATAAATGGAATGGCTTGATGTTGGCGAGCTGAACGCTGAAGCCTTGGAGGGGTTGTATATCTATGTTTATGGCGGGGTCTCCTGTAGCGCGAAAGGCGTGAGACTGGGGGACTTACACCCATCTCTAGAGTCGAAAATAAGAAGAGAAGAGGAATATGAACTGATAAGAAAAAAAGATGGCGATGGCTTTAGGAAGAGCCGGAAGAATGAAGATGGTTTGCTTCGTGTTGATGAAAGCGGAAAAAAAGTGGTGGAGGAAAGATGGGCTGAGCAAAAAGCCGTATAAGACTCGTAACCACAGGGGGAAAAAAGGCCCCGCGTTCAGGTTCACAGCCTCTTTCTGCTTTTTTCTTATATTAGTTAATTAATTACATACTAAATAATGTAAATATTATATTATTCAGAATTTAAGTAGCTTGTTTACACGGCCAAGACACTAACTGAGCCTCATGAAGAAAATACTTGAACGGTCGATATTCTGTGGCTATCGTGGTGTAAATATATACAGTAACTAAACATGTAGACATGAAGATATACAGAATAAGAAAGGCCAATAGTTATCACCGTATAGGTCTTTGACCTCTTGTCATAGAATAAATCACTCCTAAAACAAGTTAATATCATGTATATATATATATGTACTAGATAGGGATAGATTCACCTGGGAGAATTCTACAGTGTTGGAAGCAAAATCGCCGTTCATCCCTCCAGAGAGGTCGAGGTGGCCTGTCACGACGTCTGACTTGGGCATCTTCCAGACAGTCTGCCAGAAGCCATTCGCCCGAGCGGAATACTTGTGCCCAGACGTGAGCTCCAGGTTCTGGAAGGTAACGGTAGTCTCGACGGACTGCTTTGGTCCCAGTTCGACAAGGTCGCTCTCCTTTGCCGGCATCTGTCGACGGACCATCATGATGTTCTGCTCCACGTCTGCGCTTGCGGTCAGGTCGCGTAGCTCGAAGACGCCGAGAGAGGGTGCCAGAGTGTCAAAAACAGTGTTCCATTTGAGGACTGTGACCTGTGACTCGGCCGTGTTCTGAACAGCCACCTTGAGCTCCAACTGCTGGTCCTTGGGCACGACTTCTCGCACTGGACTGATGGAGATCTCGAGAAAGGTGGCCTGGCCCGCCATTTCAGCAGTTGTTCTTGCGTAAAGGACGAGCGTCGAGAACGAGTCGGTGGCGGTGAGATAGACGGCCAGGCAAAAGATACAGATGCCAAAGATGCTTGCCCTGGATAAAAGACTGTTAAGTGTTATCATGAGAATGCAGAGAATCAAACGGTTGTGTTGTTGTTGATGATGATGATGATGATGTTGGTTGTTGACGTTGATGGCGATGTTGTGATGATGTCAACTTCTACAGGGAAAACTTCAACTTCGTCATCAGCAAAGAACGACAAGGAGACAAGCCGAACAAGTGGCGGTCCAGTTATCCGCATCTGACCATAATATATTAACAGACGTGCTATTCCTATTACATGACATATATATACAAGTATACCCCTCCACGGTGTTGGCTCTAGCCTGCAACTAGGGAGATTCCCAAACGACGGACTCCATGGCCAGGATCGCTATCTGGTTGACAAACCGCAAATAATAACAAGCATCTTGGTGTCATGGGTGGACCGGCCACGAACCTCTTCGGCTGCGTGATCTTGTTCGAATTCCTTGAGAGAGCGTGAGAATCCCACCTCGTCTGGTGGGCCTAATGCCAGGGTGTGAAACAAGACAGCCAACAAGGGCATGTACCAGGCCTTCAAAAGGTTCTTATATCCTGTCTTCTCTTCTTTGCCCCATACTGAATTGGGCCGGCGGTGGATTCTCCAACTAATAATGAAGGGCGGTACAGAGATGCCACGTAGGCGGTGATATAACGGAATCTATGGACGAAGTACCCCATATAACACATCGACGGCGCCTTCGGGGTAGCGTTATCTCGCTCGACCCAAAGAAGCGTCTAAATGCACATACCAACAATCTTTCGAATGACCATGGCTAAACCAAAAAATTTCTTCTCGGATATAAATAATTTTCCTACCCGGATGATATACTATGTATATACATACGAACCCCTGCAGCCGGAGTAAATCTCGTCTGTTTCCCCAATTGGTGGACTGGTACATTCGCCGTACCACTATTTCTCAGCAGACAAGGAAAAAATCATTCTGCGCAGAAGATCTCCCGCTCAAGAGACGTGATGGCGCCGAAATCAATCAATTTACTTGACGACTGCCATGATAGGAAATATATATGACGACCATAGTATATGTGATCTACCCGCCTTAAAGGGCTTGGCTACAACGTGCCTGCGGAAACATCAACGTGGGTGCAGATGGCTAATTTCTTGGAGTACTCGGATGTTTGTCTTCCTATGGCATGAGGGACTCTGTCGACCTTCCTCCGAGAGGCTATGCAGACTGGAAAGCTCGAAAAGATTATTAGAGGAGAGTTCTTCTAGCTCAGTGGATCAATTCTGCCTTGGCGGACTCGCCTGGGGAAATTAAGGGCTTAAACTTGCATACGCCTTGTGAATGGTTCAACGATCGAGTTTGCTGGTACCATTCAATATCCAGTAAGAATATCCTCTATACCATCTACGGATGATGATACTCCATACTGTGTACTCTGTGTACGGAATATACAAAAGTGTAGTACACATCGTAGCTCCGAACTGGCCACCTACATTACTATGGAACACAAGACATGAGTTCAGAATTGCACAATTGATACAGGAGCAAAGGAGCCGTGTTAAGAAGCAGGGCCGCAGCCAACATGTACAAGCTTGCATAAGACTGACTACCTTACATATACTCCGTACATTTATTTTCTTTCACCCAGGCGTCATCTTCATCCAGCCCGCTGCCAAGGGTAGGGGAACCGCCGGCGTCTCATGAACTTGAAGGCTCCATGGGGTCAAGGGAAAAAAACTTCGGTTCTCCAGCTCACGCCGCTGATCTTTTCGGCGTCTACGAGCAGAGATGGCGGTTAGGGTTATTACTGGGATTCAGTCATTACTCCGTACGTATTGAAGAGATCAACAGTATGTCTCCTCGCGATCCACGCTTCGGAAAAGTTCAGCCAAAAAAAAAAAAAAAAAAAAAAAAGATCTTTCTGGAAAATAGAAGGAAGGCCATACATAGTAGTGCCCAACCTTTGGGATGAGGGATGCTAGGCTGAAAACTAGTCTACCCCTTACAGGACGTGCTGTGCCTCGGTTGCCGCCCACGACTCCTGACAAGGGCCATCATCTAACGAATTATCGCCTTAGGGCATGTGTTACCAACGCCTCGACCTAAACGGTCAGACTTTACTGTGTCATATCTTTGAGATCAGCGTCAAATCCACCTTTTGTTTTCTGACCGAACCGCCGTCCTTTACTACGTACAGATGTTTATGGGCATCTCCGCCTGGACTCTCCATCATATATCCGCACAAACGGACCCAGAGAGTCTCGCCTTGTCTCGTTTTCTTAGTGACGCTTTATTATACCTCCGCAATTCGATATTTTATGTGGTGGATATTCGTATAACATTTGTCTTATATACAGCCATTGAAAAGGCTTGTCTTCTCCGGCTGTTGACGAGCACGTTATGCGCTGAACCCTTGTCTATATAGGTGTGGTCAGACAGGGTAAAATCTCCGTGGAGCTTTGGAGTCTCTGTTCTTTCTCCAAATGGGTTGCTCTCCTACTTTGACAACCCTCCTCGAGCTACTATGAACCCCTTTAGTCCACTATAGCCAGCCTAGCATGGAATCCGGCCCTTGGAAATGCTCTTCACAGCAGAGCTGGATATGGCTCCATACGTCAAAGTATGGCTTTGATACCGTTCTTCTCCTGAGCAGGGGCCGATCGAGAAGAGGTATATAAAGCAGCTATCGAACCAAGCTGATGGATATTCTCTATCAGCCACAGCAGACTCTCATTTCAAATCAAACAGTTCCTAGAGAACTATTTCATTCATTTTTTTTTCCTTTATTCATTCATTCATTCATTCATTCATTCATTGATACATTCATTCTTTAATCTATTCATTCTTTTCAAATACTAAACATTTGCACGATGCAATTCTTCACCGCACTCGCCGCGGTCGGTGCCCTCGTGGCTCCGGCCCTTGCTCTCCCAACCCAAGTGCCAGCAAACCAATCTCTCATTGACGTCCAGCTCAGTGCCACTGGCAACTCCATGATCAAGGCTGTCATCACCAACAAGGGTACCCGTGCCTTGAACTTGTTGAAGTTCAACACCATCATGGATGAGAACCCAACTGCCAAGGTTATGGTCTTCGACAAGAATGGTAAGATACTTTTAAGAATTCACATAAAATGTTGACGCTAACTTGCTTTATAAGGTGCTGAGGTTGAATTCACTGGCATGCTTCCCCGTTATGACATGAACTCCCTCTCTACCGACTACTTCGCTACTCTGGCTCCCCAGGCTAGCGTTGAGCACTCTTTCGACATTGCTGCCACCCACAACATCAAGGAGAGCGGCAAGTACACTCTCTCCGCCCACGGGCTCATCCCTACCGCTGAGGAGCACGGAACCACCATCACTGGACAAGCATTCTATGAGTCTAACACCCTCGAGATGGAAATTGATGCCTCCAAGGCTGCTATGGTCCCCAGGGCTTTCGAGGAGCTTGATGCCCACATTGTTGGAACCATTGACAAGCGCAGCGGAATAGTTACTTCCTCTTGCGATGCCTCTCAGCTCCGTATCGTCAAGCAGGCCCTTGCTAACTCCAGAATGCTTGCCCTCAACGCCGCTCGTGCTGCTTCCTCCAACCCCAGCAAGGTCCGGGAATACTTCGGTAGCAGCGACAGCAGCATCATGCAGAAGGTTGCCTCCCGCTTCCAGTCTGTTGCCCGTGAATCCACTGCCTCCGGCGGCCAGACTACCTACCATTGCACCGACAACCGTGGAAGCTGCAAGCCAGGTGTCCTTGCTTATACTCTCCCATCCACGAACACCGTCTACAACTGCCCAAGCTACTACCGTGAACCATCTCTCACCAAGCGCTGCCACGCCCAGGACCAGGCCACCACCACCCTCCATGAATTGACCCACAACCCAGTTGTTGTAAGCCCCTTCTGCAAGGATCTCGGATACGGATACAGACTCGCCACTGGTCTCCCAACCTCCAAGGCCATCCAGAACGCTGACAACTACGCCCTCTTTGCCAACGGTATGTTTCATCCCCCATAGTACTAGGTTTTTTGTTCTCCTGACTAACTGGTTTAATAGCTATCTACGCTGGATGCTAAAAGGCAATCCTTCGCTGGTAAATTACAGCTTATTAAAGCTCTAATAGAGGAAAGCAGTCCTGTTTTCTTTGTTCCTGTCTTTTATTCAAATGGTTAGCGAGACTGCCGGTTACCCGGTCTCCTTCACCACCCGTCCGCCGCTCTTCCTTTTCATGTATATAGATTCACTCCCTTAAAAGACCATAGATACTCCATAGTACAATCAAGTTTTCTGTGCTCTGATTTTCTGTTGCCTAACCAGATATTCAACTATTCACTCGAGGCATGCTTTGAACCGTGGAGGTTGCTTCGCTTCCCTGGAGATATAGCGCCGCTACCGACCACCTCTATGGCTAATCTTCAATTCTGATCATTTCGACATTTGTAAATTATTATTATTATTAGCTAGCTTCGTATATCTTGCAAAGTTATCAGAGTTAGACATCAAACAAAACTAAAAAGCAGGTGCATTTTTTTCAAGAACCACAAACTCATAGTTTGCAATACAGCATAGACTATCGTCCCATGGTTCTTGTAAGTTAAAAGGGCCCGAAGGGGTAAACGAACGAACAAATTACTTAATTACATATTAGCTAGCAAGAAGATTAACTAAATTACCAATCGCAGCTTTCAACAATCCTATTAAAGCTGCCTAGAAGCTTGGATTTCGTCACCAGGCCGATACCTCCAGGAAACCGAAATACTTCCCAAAAACTCGGTTCCAACCGAAAGTCATATTGGTATCATGTGGAAGGACAAACGCAGCAAAGCAAGTATACGAGCCCAGTGGGAAACATAGGAAAGTAAGATGTAAAGACAATCCATGGAATACGTTGATAGACGGCCACGAAACAATAGGCGACTAATCTGAGAATTGGTAACCTTAAACCGGTGCGCTAGTTCCTGGAATGGTCATCAGTCCATCGGCGAGCCCTGTCATCTTTGAGGGCATAACATGCGTGGGCTCCGGCATAGCCGCTGGTGCCACTGCCGGCCTGTTTTGATGCTGGGATAGAGGCTGGTTCTGCTGCTGTTGCTGCTGAACGCCACCCATGCCGGCGCGATTTCTATACTTTCGTTTGATAGTGTTTAGTCGCGGAAGACCGGTTGTTGGGGCAGCACTACCGATTCCAAACACAGGAGATTCCCATCTCTCGCCCTTTGCAGCAAGATCCTTGTACTCCGTTGCTTTGGCGGATATGCCACTTGGAAGAACGATATTTTTAAACATAGAATCGTATTGGCTGACGGCGATGTTGACCTTGGTATCCCGGGGAGCCTTTTGCTTCTTCTTAGCCTCCGCCTGTTGCTTGCGTGCATCCATTTGCGACTTGAGAGCATTGCTATAATGAGAATATGCGTTTCTCTTGTCATCTGGGTCGTTGCGTGACAACTCCATGGTGCGCTGTGCTTCCTGGTGGACTTGATAAGCAAACTTATCTGCTTTGGTAAAGTATTGCCGAATTTGCAATTCCAGGACCTTCTGAATAGCTGGTCGAACCAGTGACAAAAGCAAAGGCTTGAACAAAGTAAATAGCGTCTTGTGCTTGGACTTCTTTAGCCTGATATCCAGATTTTTAATGTTGACGAGGACTTTGTCAGCCTTAATAAAATGTTGTTTATCCTTGCTCTGTGCCGAAGAGCCCATGATCTTGAAGCTGAATCCATCTCCTCCCAAGAAAATATCCATAACACCAGTGTCTGAGACATGTGGGAAGCCCTTTTTCTTCTTGATGTAATAGCTTACATCTAAGTGAAACTCATTAGTGAGGTTGTTTAAAATAGTATAGAACATAAGGATATGTCTTACCTCTCCAATCAGTTTGAATGCCAGTGGCGGAGATCATAGCCTGGAACCAGGTATTAGCAGCTACATATTAAGTTTCTAGGAAGAGGAAAACGTCAAGATATCTACCTTATTGTCGTTGTGGTTGCCAATATTCTTTCTGCCCCATCTCCAGTAGTTGTCACTGCTGAACTCCATGATATTGGGCATGAGATTATCACATTGAATGGCCAAATTTTCAATGACCTATTGTATGTTAGAAATAGCCAAGGAAACTTGTGTCACTTTTAGCGGTTTAGTTATACATACCACGTCGACCATCGGATCAGATACCTCAATTCGAGGAAGAGGGATATATCGGAGATTTGTGAATATTCCTGGAAGGACAGTATTCGCAAAGTCCTTCAATAGAGCTTTCTGGAAGACAACATTTCCGCTGGTATCATGGCCAAGATGATCGAAGAATTTTTTCAATGATTGTCCGAATTCTCTATTTAATGGGTCCTCATCAAACTGGTTTGCCAGGAATTTACCTTCCTCGACAACTTCATCAGTATCTTTCTTGTAGCGCTTGGTGAGCAAGAACCGTCCCTCATCGTAGAGCCTGTTCCATTCCGCAGTCGATTCGTCCCGTAAGACGTAGCCTTGCTCTTTGAGACATTTCCTGCCGTCATGTTAGCATGTTCTCCTTAAGGAATTTCTCGGTTAACCCTAGTGAAGAGGCGGTATACCGAGTAAAAGTATCCACGTTTCGGAACCAATCCCTAAGTCGAGGGTCTCTGTCTGCATTCCTGTAGAATTTCTTAATAGCATCAAAGAGGTCATCAGTAGAGGTAGAGTTCGCAAATCGCTCGATAACAGTCTTTAGGCGTGTCAGTGAATCATTATGTTCGGTCAAGAATCCTATTAACATACTCTAAGGTTAGATTCCAATTTCTCCATATCCGAATGATCTCTTGCACCTTTCAAAGTTCCTGCTCCTTGCTTGGACAGGTTTCTAGTGCGTTGGCTGTACCCTTCCGCAATTGATAAAAGAGTTTCGATGGCTTGCTGATCTACAGAGCGCATTAGACTATTGTGATGGGAATGAAGAGCCGAGGAGGATACTCACAATCAGCATGTCCTTGAATCTCAACAATCATTTTCTTGATGCGCCAAATTGTTTGCTCCCGACGCTCTGGGGGCATCTTTTCGGCAAGGAATTTCTTGGTGCGTTCTGTTGCTTCCCTGGAACGTTGCTTGGCTTTGGAGGCAGCCTGGTCTGTAAGCTCTGCGGGATCAGTGGCAGCCTCAGAAGTGCCAGCCTGATGACTAGTTCCAACACCGTCAACGCCATTAACACCATTAACTCCGTTCGTAGCATGGGTCCCGTTGGTCCCGTTGAGGTTTCCTTGAGCCTTGTCCGTTTTCGTTTTATTTTTAAAACGTGACATAAAGGCATCCTTCGACATATCAGGGGAGTCGTGCCATACGTTATCTTCAGCGGGCTTATCGATCTGGGCCATATGCTCCTCTGATGGCCTCAAGGCCCCAGCAGCTTTCTGAGCTGAGTCGCTAGCGATATCGCGTATCAGGAGTGTTGCATCCTGCACTGTGACCGTATGAGTATTGCAACTATTGTAGATTTCATGGATATTGTAATGAACTTACATAGTTTCCTAAATTGGCCATTGGTTATCAGTAGGGTACCAAGCGTCTTCAGACCAGCAGCAGTTTGTTGGGCATTTTGTTTGGCAGCAGCCTTTTCACCGGAAGTATCTGGGGCTTGAACATCCGGACTCTTGAAATGTTCGGCGTCCCAGATGAACTCTTGGATCATATTGCCATCGTTCTTGACCAGAACGAGATTCCTCGCACTGATTATCACATGACGTAGGTCTTCAATAATCCGTCGAGTTTCAGCTGAAAGCTCAGATGATGGGCTGGCCAGCGACTTTGAGGCCAGGAGGCTGTTTAAAGCAACATCGATTTGCTTGTTCTGTTAAGCAAGGTAGTTAGTAGTGAGCAGAAGAAGTTTTAGTATTGGGATTAAGGAGCTCACCGAAGGAGCTTTGCCATTAGCGAAAGCTGGTTACATTGGTCTCTATGTTAGCAAGGCTTCATTTCTAGGCGTGCTCAATTGGTATTATGAAAGAACAAACCCGAGTAAATGCCATAATACTGCAGCTTTTCATTGATATCCTATTATATCCTGTTAGACATTGTTCAAGTCATCTTGTGGGATCGTCCCGTCCACTTACCTTGTCTCTCTGCTCCGGGTTCACCGGAGTGTTCACTACTGCTTTGCTACTAGGCATGGCGACGAGCTAACACGAGCACATCTAGAGGATATTGCCTGAGCGAAGAATTGAAAATTCTGCAATACCGATATATATTAGGGATATGAGCAAGTGTGGGAAAACGTGATCAAGTCCAATTGATGCACCCAAAGCCTCGGACAATGCTTTTAAAGGACGGACGGAAGGGATGGCGACTCCACCGCTTTTAAAAGAGAGAGGAGCTGGTCAATTGACTACGCACCTTGGAGGGGCCAAAAATCCACTATTCCCAATAACAGACGTTGTAGGTACGAAAAGATAAATCGAGGAGAAGAATCGCATGGGAGGTCGATATATCCCTGAATCTTGGTTATCCCTTGACGTCATCCCCTTGCCGTTCCATCCTGGCACCGATTACAGACGCATTTTCGCCTTCAGATTGCCATCTAGCCACAGAGCGTAACGTTTCACGGGCAGATCAACAACAATCCTGCTCGGGTGGCCAATTATCGACAAATGGCACGAAAGGTATACCCTGTGGAACTTGTTTTTGTCCCGTATGCATATCGGTGCAAGCTGTCGATAGTTCTCCACTATGATGCGGTATTGCTGGCCTTGGTCGTGAAAGCTGCCTATTCGTTACGTCATGAAAAAGGCTTTTTTAACACGCACAGCCTGGTAGAACCGCAATCGAGAAGTGGTGCTATGTAGAGTTCAGTTCATCCCTGCAGCCGAAATAAGAGGCCCTTCCGGCAATTTGATCCAGTCTTTCTAGGCTGTTCTCGTGAACACATTCGTAAACCGGTGAGGTACCGGATGTGAAATTCAGATGAAGGTGGACGCTGGGGAAACGGAAAGTTACATGCTTATATAATTAACATTACATAACACACCTTAAACGGGCGTCTGTTATTTGTCACGTGCTTTCGTGGGATCCATGAGACGCGCGCGTACTATGTAGTGAACAACTTCTCGCTTGTGGGGCTGAAAACGGCATCAAAATACATGATATACGATATATGATACATACAAGATAGCCGCCCTTGTCCTTCACAATGGGCAGCTCTAATAAGGCTAGGCGGCCTCGGAAACGGCAGACCACCTTGTCATTTGCTCCTGTTGCTTCGTCGCCTGCATCTGAACGAAGCCCTGTTCGTCTACGATATCAGAGCCCTCACTCGAAAAAGCCATCACTTGCAGAAGAAAAACCAGCTACTACCGCTCAGACGAAACCAAAGCAACCGTCTATATTTGTCTCGTCTGATGAAGAACTTATTGGGGCCTCTTCTGGTATCAAACCGATAATGATGAAACGAGCAATTTCGGATGTTGATGCACCTAGCTCTGGGGAGAGTGATGATGTTATCTCTACTTCACCTGTGAAACGTAGAAGAACAACCGTACAGGTTGTTATTCCTCAAGCACCAGACGTTAGTGACCAGGTCAAAATAAAACATGATTCCGATTCTGATTCCGATATCATTCGCTCATCCCCTATACGGCAACGGAGAAAGATTTTCAAGAGCCGGGCTAAAAGAGAGTCTCATGAAGGAGGGTTAGAAAACAGTAAATCTGCATGGAGGGGTAACAGCAAGTCAAGGCAGCATAAAATTGATTTGGAGGAAGACCTTGAAGAACTTCGAGATTCTGGTAAGGAAAACCTTCGCCATTACCTGCTCAGGCTAGATACCCTATGGTGGCTTACAAGGGGGCTTAATGATATCATTACCTTTCTACGCTATGGCACCTAACAGGGCATGTCTGGGATATACGAAAGACTATGTTTATTCTATGCTTTGGTAGCCAGAAAAGCTATGGTAAAGACCTCACTTTTGTTGGCCATTTTCTAACTGGACTCTAGATATAATTGAAGGTCGGACAAGGGGTACACCGACCATGTCAGCTGCTAAGGCAAAGCGCCAACAGCAGCTAGATCTCCTTAAACGTCGGCGTGCGGGAGACAAAAAGTCCAAGTTGGTAGACGCCTTGGTCAGAGATGGTGACGAGGGAGGAAAACCTACCCCAGATAACAGTTCTGATATCTCAGATGGATCGAAGGGCACTGAGAGTTTTGAAGACTCTTCTTCAGCAGATGCTTCACAACCAGACGTTGATAGTGATGCTGAGCCTTCTCTTCCTGAGGACCTTGACAAATACGATGCCGATTTTGTTCTGGATGATGACGATGATGAATTAGGTGTGCCAGCAGACGAAATTGAAGTTCCGTTTGAATTTACCAGACATCGATATAAGAGGCTCAAAGACCATTTTAAGGACGTAATTGAATGGATGGTGCACAACAAAATCAACCCAGCGTTCCGCCGGGATGATGCCGTCTATGAAATGGCATTTAGAAAAGTGAAAGATGAAGTAACAGGATTGGCTGGCTCCCAGTTCGTATCTTCTGTCTGGAATAAGGGATTCTTAGGTGCCCTCAAAGCTAGGCCACGGATAGTAGTACTTCCCTACCCCATTACAGAAGGCCATCCATGCGATGCATGCAACAGATCGAAGCATCCAGCTTCGTATGATATCAGATTGATGGACTCCCGTATAGTCCAGAAACCCTAGAGCCCATTCATGGAGACGACAGCAGTGAAGAACAAGACTTAGAGGAGGACCGCGACAACGTTGATTACGAGGGAAATGTGATACCAAATGAGGATACACACTTTTATCTGGGAAGGTATGTTAAAGACCCATATGTCGTTTTTGATGACAGCTTGAGTATTAACCTACTATCCTGCGTACTTCTACAGACACTGCAAGTCAAAAGCATCCATGGCCCATACTCTAATGCATTGGCGCTATCATCTTAACGAATGGGTAATTGGCTATTTAGAAAGAATAGGCATCTTGGAGGATAGTGAAATCCTAAAACGAGAACACTGGATCCAGAAAAAACGTACAAAATATGCTAACGAGGTTGTTGATACCATGGGAGAGGCTGGAGAGATAGATCGATTATGGAGAGACTTCAATCTCAACCTCAAGACTGCACGGGCTTCAACAGTATGTGACTATTTATTTCTTCTTCGGCCTATCTCTTAAACTATTAGCTTTGTTAACTATGCTAACCCTCATATAGACAACCACCTCTCGATGGTAAACCACTGGGGACTCCTTCATCCAAAGTAGCACCGTGGTATTAGTTACTATTCCTCCCAACCTATTGGATTCGGTGTGAATGACAAATGATGCTAGTATTGATTTGTATCTCCTCCAATATCTAGCTCATCCCTCCTATAGTGCCAATTACCCATAGAAAAGAACGTTATAATCAAACTCTAGAACAGAGTAACGAAGCAAAGGCTTAACGTTACATATTCAGCGACGACTAGAATGCCTCTTTATGATGCTATTTCGCGAGACACCCAAGAGCTTTTGGCATAGCCATTCAAGTGTTAATACAATGCCTTTGACAATAGTTTTAAAGTACAGAAAAAGGAAAGTAGATGCCAGTCACCGATATAAAGTACATATGTAAATACTAAAGGAGAAGAGAAGACCGACAAAGGGGGGGGGGGGGGGGGGGGGGGGGGAAACGTATATGTAGGCGATGATATCAGAGGCATCAAGAAAGACACAAAAGTGCTGAGCCCCTACAGAAAAACAATCCAACAACCAGGGAAATGATATTTTTGTCGCTTTCTCAGATTCATTCGTAGTAGCCGCCTATCCCACGGAACCCAATTCATATCCCATATCCTGTGGGGCTGAAATCCACCAGTAGATATCAATATTGCATGATTCGTGTAAAATCTTGATAAACTAATAGATCCAAGAGCAAGTCAATGATGCTTTATGCTTACCGGACACGTCGGGAACATTGATCTATCGTTTTTCGCACTCGCCCACAGTTATCTTGTCATAACGTGTAAGTTTACAAGGCAGGTTTAGCCTCCAGAGCAGCAGAATCGGGAGCGGTAAGAGCGCTTGTGGCACCGGGAGTCAACATCTGGGGAAATAAAAAATTTTTAGTCAGAAGATCGTAGATTTAAGTGAGAACAAGAAAAGGAGAGAAAAAAAGCAATCCGGAATTGTCTGAAAGGAAATAAACTGCGCAACACAAACCTCATTAGCTCCTTTAATCATCCCTTGCTCCCTTTCCATCTGAACATATTGTTGCTCTTCGGCTAATGCAAGGGCCCATGGGACACCGAGCAAGAATGCACTTGTGCTTACAATCCACAGAGCAGAGCCGCCGAAAGAAACGGTTGATTTCGCAAAGGATGAGAGCGATGAGAAGGCATTGCTAATCTTGTGTCTGGATTGGGCTGGGATAATGTCTTGTAGAGCGCAAATTCGCTCGTACAGTGTCTCGTTGTCGAGATTGTTATCGAATGAGTCTGTAGAGATTTCGGATTCTATCATGTTAAGTTTAGTTAGAAAATGTAATGTTATACCCAACATATTGAGCTCATGGTCTGTGGTTTGAAGGCAGGGTATAATAGAGGCGATGGTTTTTCCCTTCCCAATATATTGAATGTCCACGCCTGGTTGCAGGGAAACATCAACCACTAAATAAACATTAAGGGGCTTGAATGCATACCAGTATCAGTGTAATCGTCATCTTCATCCTCACTCAATAACAGAGCGTCCGACTTTGTCGACGTTGGCTTTTCTTTGAAATGCTCATCTTCGACTTCGGTGAGTTTGACCATTGTGATTGATTAAAATGGGATGCAAATATAAGCTGGGCGTAGAGAATAAAAGTGATCCCAGCTTTGAATGTCGTGTCAAATAATGAAGATGGATTGATGGTTTGGTCAAGGGAGTTTTTTCCTTCTGATCTTTGATCTTCGAAAGAACAAAAGTTCATCCAAACTTTTTTCTTTGTTGGAACCTTGAAGCTTACGTAAGCTATCGTGATCTTCGAGCTGCCCACCAGATAAGCTGGACTTCATCCTCAGCCATTATTGACACGGCACAGCCTGATGAAGAGAAGTATTTTACAAGCAGACAGGTTCATCTTAGGGCAGTCCGTGAGAATAAGTTGAGCAGATTCTCTTTTATATTACTCAATGGTCTATTATATAAACTGAAGCTCATCAATTTTAACTAGTTAGACTCCTTGCAAGGTCCATACCGCGATCAAACTCCATACACAACAAGGAATCATGGCTACACAAACCGAATCTGAATCGGCCGAGCATATCATTCCCTTCCCAGAGCCGACCGTCATTCCCCCTCGAAGCAATCACACTCACACTATCATACTTCTCCATGGTCGAGGTAGTAACGGTCGTGACTTCGGTGCTGAGATAATCACCACAATCCTATCTGCTCCAGGTGCCGATAATACTCTCCCCAAACGCTTCCCTGGCCTCAAGTTTATATTTCCTTCCGCAAAAATATCCTATTCAGCTCAATGGGATATACATCTTGCGCAGTGGTTTGACCGTGGCCCAATTGGTTCAACAGCCAAAGAACATAATGATTTACTCTACGCAGGGCTACGAGAGTCAACGCGGTATCTACGGACAATAATCGACTCTGAAGTTGAGCTTGTTGGCGCGAGCAACGTTATTATTGGAGGGCTGAGCCAAGGTTGTGCGCAGTCACTTCATATTTTACTCAGCTATGCAAATGATGAGCATCGCGCCTTGGGTGGACTGGTGGGTATGAGCGGATGGCTACCATTTAAAGAACAAATAGCTGGATTTATCCGGAGAGACCAAGGAACACAAGAAGGAGAAAATGAGGAAGCCAAATCGGATAAGGGGTCCCCGCGCTCTGCAGCTCTGCAAGCTATGAATTATGTTTGTCAATCAGTTTTGGGCCTACCCCCTATTCCAGCAGAAGCTGCGGAAGCTGCTCTGTCTACCCCAGTATGGCTTGCCCATGGGGGCATGGACAAGACTGTGAAACCAGAACTGGGGGAGGCGGCGGCACAAACGCTTGAACAACTTGGCTGGGATGTGACCTGGATGTTTTATGACGAGCTTGAGCACTGGTTCGCTCCAATGGAGCTGGAGGACATGGCTATCTTTTTGAGCACAAGAGTTGACATACCCGAGGCAGGTCAGTAATATCAGTATTGACGAAGGGAATTTATGAATGATATGAGACAATGTAGTTATGATATTGGGGGCCCCCTTATATTTCTTTGAATACATATCTAGATATTTGTTCATAATGTTATTATTACACCATCCAACCTATCTTAATAATACACAGTTCTCTAAAATCCAAAAAAAAAGCCAAGGTAATCGATCCGAAATGGATCTTAATGCTTTTGAAATAACTTCAATCATGACTATGCTCGGCCTAGTCCCCACTTGGCGATTCGTTGCTGAATCTCACCCCACTGTAATGGCGCGAGTTTGACACCTTCCATTTCGCCTTCTTGGATAACGACGGTAGGTCGGCCGGTGCCCTGACCGGGGTTTTGTACTAGGCCACCGAAGACTTGCTTAGCAACACGTCTTAGGTCGTCAACTGTAAGGGATTCGATCTGCTTGCACATTTCTTGGACACCAATCTTGCGGCCGTGGACTTGGACTTGTCGACCTAGATCTTCAAGCTCAACCATGCGCGATTCCAGATTCATCAGCAATGATGAGCGAAGCTGGTTCTTTGCGCGGTTGACTTCTTGTATCTGTAGACCAGAATAGCCAGAGTCAAGGGTCAAAGCCTGGAGCTCGCGGCACATCACCTCAAGCATATTGGCTACGCTATTGGGCACGCAGGAGGCGGAGATTCCAAACAGGCCACTATCAGTATAGCTGAGGTTGAAAGCCATGCAACTTTCTACCCAGCCATGTTGGTTCAGGACGTTGGTGTATAGTCGTGAGTACATTCCTTTGCCGGGACCACCGGCTGAGAATGATCCACCACCACCGAGCAAGGTTTGAAGGGTTGCTAGGGCATATATATCTGGAGAAGAGATGGGAAGAGCCTCGAAGGCAAGATGAATATGGCTGAGACGAGGCAGGGCGGGGTTGGCTGGAGGAGGAATGCGCGGGAGAGACATGAAGCCACCGGTATAATATGAAGGTTTGCTCATATCGATCATATCTGTCTGAAGAAGGGACGGGTTCAGCGGGGATACGGTTGCTTGGTTTGCGGCGGACGTAGATAGATTCTTGAAGAATGGGACCTTGGAGAAGAGGCCTGGGGAGGATGGAGAGGAAGGAGGAGTTGATGAAGGCGAATGCGCGGCTGAGGAATTAGGTGTCTCTGCGGGAGTTGTAGAAGACGGTGAGAAGGCTGGGAATGTCGACACCTCCTCTTCACCATGTACAGACGTGTTTGACCCGGATTGAACTAAAAGGGGAGATTTCTGATTCTTCATATCCCCAAAGAATTGCTCTGTCATCCTTACAGCGTCGGCATGGGGGACTCCAGCAAAGGCAACTACCATCTTATCCGGGTTAAAGAATGCAGTCCGATACTTGTCCACGGTCGACTTGTTAATCTGATCCAGCCTCTCTCGTGGGCAGAGCAAGGGGTTCCCCAGAGTATTATCCTTATAAGCAGCCATATTCACCAGTTCCGGCAATATCATCTCTGGCTTTGCCCAAAGCTCTGTGATTTCATACTCAGCTACAGCCAACTGTTGTGCTACCTCTTCCTCTGTGATTAATGGGTCTCGGATTGTTTCCGCTAATAGGCCAAGGGTTGTAGGCACGGTCGAATTGAAGCTGGCAGACTGGTACATGAGGGACTCTCGTGATGAAGCGCATTGTATATTCCCTCCCAAACTCTCTAGGGATTCGAGCATTTGGTCTGCATTCCGTTTCGATGTTGATTTGAAGGCTAGTCTGTCGACAATATGGCTTACACCACGTAGCTCATTGTTTTCGTATCTCGACCCAGCGTCAATGTAGACACCAACGCCGGCAAAGGGCCCGGGAAGAGACTCAGTTGCGACGCGTAGACCATTGCTGAGAGTCGTTATCTGGTCTAGTTCGACGGGATCCTGTTGCACAATTCATGTGTTAAAAAAATGCCTTCTATGACAGTAGAAATAGAATTATACATGCCTTAGTCTCTGGCAGTCGAGCAGTTGCAAAACTCCTAGGAATAAGACGCGGTATGCAGGGCTTCTTAAACCTGCCTACTCTCAACGGCAATCGATGCATACTGGAGGGCGAGCTGGTTTTTTGTATTATGGGGACGGTTGATACAAGATGTTGAAAACTATTTTCTGGTGTTGCTGGATCAGATAAAAACCAAAGCTTGGCGCCGGACGGTTAGCGTCATCAACTTTTTAACATTATTTTTATTATCAGATGAACAACATGGAATGAACACACGACATGACCCATTAATATGATAATATTAAAACCGAAAGCGGTATAGATATATACCATCTAGTCTACGTCAAGTAAATAAATCTAGTGCTCATTAGACCATTTGCGGTACCAGTCCAAACAGGCGGCGTTGGCAACACTGGCGCCTGTCTTGATGTTGAGCCCGCACAGAATCTGCTTCACTGCATTCTCGACCTTTTTACCGTTGGATGTGACGGGTATCTCGGGACAAGAATCTACTATCGCCGGGACATGCCTAGCGCTCAGTTCCTTGCGAATGGCGGCTTGTATGCGAGTGATAAGATCCTGTGAGAGGCTCTTTGGCTCTTCGAGGACAATAGGCGTTGATGTGCCCGAGGAGGCTGGGGTTGAGCCCATTAATTTCACGAATAATACTACTGTTTCGTCAGTTTCGATTCCTTCACGTCTCCGGCCGATGCAGAGAGAATCTTCGATCTCGTCTGCGAAATGCTTAAGAATAACATTATATATCTCTGCGCTTCCGAAACGGACGCCGGCAGGCTTCAGCACCCCGTCACTGCGTCCTAGCATGGCCAACCCACCGGTCTCGGGGTTTATGCGGACGAAGTCTCCGTGGTGCCAGACTTTCGGACCAAAGGTTTCAAAGTAGCTGGATCGGTATTTCTCGGCACCAACAGGACCAGGAGGCCAGAACATGACTGGCTGTGAAGGGAAAGCCTTAAGACAGACAAGGTCTCCAGCATCGTCGGAGGCACCGATGTCGTTTCCGGCGTAGTCGAAGACAGAAACCGCCATTCCGAGGCCACAGCATTGAATTTCACCCCGGTGAACGGGCAGAATGGGGCAACAGGCACCAAAAAGGGAAATGATGTCTGTTCCTCCGGTGATGGAGCCTAGCATTACGTCTGGGTGAATCGAGGAATAGACATAGTCGAATGTTGATGGGGCAAGGGAAGACCCGGTGCTAAATATGGCTCTCAGGCTCTTGAGAGTGACGGGTTTAAAGGGGTGTTCTCTGGGGTTCAGAGAGTTCTGCTCCAGTACTGATAGGTATTTGGCGGAAGTTCCAAAGTGGGTGATCTGGAGTTCGTCAATCAGACGGGGCATTGCCATGTCTCCCTTGCCGTTTTCAGGGTCAAGAGGACGGAACGGAGATCCATCGTAGAGAACTATGCTGGTTCCGCTGGCGAGGCCGGAAACAAGCCAGTGCCACATCATCCATGTCGTGGTTGTGAAGTAGAACATGCGATCACCAGGGCGCATATCACAGTGAAGAACGTGCTCTTTCTTATGCTGTATCAAAGTGCCGAGAGCTCCGTGGACGATGGGCTTGGGGGCGCCAGTTGTGCCTGAGGAATATAGGATGTACACGGGATGGTCTGGCGGCAGATACTTGAAGTCCAATGGCTTCGACATGGCCTGCGCAGAAGAGAGGAAGTCCTGCAGTGTCACACTCTTCCCCTTTGGAGGCCTAACGGCCGAAATGTCAAATGGGTAGTCCTTGACGGCATTGATAACGATGGCCAGGTCCAGACATTCCAAGTTGGCTGTAACCTCGGCCACCTTTGACTGAGTTGGGTGAACTTTGCCATTGTACGCAGCTCCGTTATCCACGAAGAGCACTTTGGGTTCAATCTGCCGCAATCTCTCCAAGACCGCATGCACACCAGTATCGGTCGAGACACCACTCCACAATGCGCCAAGCGAAGTGACCGCCAACATGGCAATCAGGGTATTAGCATGATTGCCTACAAATCCTGCAACACGGTCTCCCTCTGTAACACCAACTGTTTCCAAAGCAAGTGCGCAGACACGAACTCGCTCTCGGAGGCTCTTCCACGAGATGCTCTCGCGGGTGGACTCTGTAGCAGCTATGACAGCAATCTCGTCCTCATTCGGATTGCAGGCAGGGAAGAGCAAGTTCTCTGCGAAATTGAGCAACGAGCCTGGAAAGAAGGACGGACGGGGAAACAGAGGAGCGTTCTCATCGAATACCTTGAAGCAAAAAAAAAAAAAAATAATCAGCTTTCTTTTTCCTCCCCATCATCGCGATGGCGGGGCAAAATGCGCAAATCCGCCAGCAGAACGCCAGCAGCGCCCTCCAGAGAGCACAATTGATCTGAATTAAGCAACTGCTTGGGGTATTAGGAACATACGCTGTCATAGGTCTTGTGCGCCTTGATGCCGGTGTAATGCCATATCTCCTCCCAGAAGAGGGCGGGACTGCGAATGCTCCATTCCCGCAAATCGTGATAGTCCTGCAGCGAAAGGCCGTGTTTCTGGATTATGCGGTTCTTGAATTGATAAATCTGCGTCGACTCAGGGTTCGACGGCCTCCAGAGCTCCTTGGGCTCCATCAAATGGCCATTGCCGTTGGTCTCTGGCTGATCCATGAACGGCATCGCGATAAGATGGATGATAAGATCTGTTGGAGCAAGATAAAGAGTCTGAATGAGCAGCTCTAGGTATTTTCTTCGCCTCTCTCTCTCTCACTCTCTCTATATATATACCACCCTCGTGTATATATAAGAATTTACCTCCCTTGCAACTTTCGTCCCCAACGCTTTCCAGGATGTGACAACTTTTTTTTTTTTCAATAGAAAAATATCCGATCGCAAAAAGAAGTAAAATCCCTGGCCGCCTGGAAGGTTTTCCGCTGCCGAGGCGCCGTTTGCCTTGCAGATGCTTAGCTAAGCAGGCACTCGGCCTAAAAGCGCCGACGGGAAATACCAAAAGCGGAATTACAGCGGAAGGCAAACCAAGCAAACTTCCACATGCGGTCAGGCACCGTTATTTATGCTGAGCTGAGCAGCGGCGTAAACGAGCCGATACGGTAATTACAGCTACCTTGCCGATCTTTACCACTTCTCCTCAGTTACCATTGGTTTACTCTCTTAGTAAGCGTACTGTATTGTCACCTGATGGATTGCAGGCCGTATCTACCGGTAATATTACGATAAGATAAACGCGCAAATTTCAATAATCTGATACGCTAAAAGAACGGGAAAAATACAAAATATACGCACTTTTTGGCAGGTAAAAACCGTAAAATTAAAATTACGAAAACCCTTTCTTGTCTTTTGCCCCCTTTTGGGAGCATCCAAGGCCAAAAAGAAGTATATAACAACGACTTCGACTTCACAACGCCAAAGACAACAGATCATCCCTCTGCCTGCTTTTCTCCAAGGCTCTGCTGGCCGCCATGAGCACTTCCGCAGCTCGCCTGTAGCTGGTCTTGATGCCATTGAACTCACGGGCCAACAGCTGAAACTACTCTGCAGTGAGCTAGCTACTATAATCCCGGCCCGCTCGGAGCCTCTCCTGAAGGGTGCGTCCTGGCAATATTATTATCCCCTGATGGCCCAGGAAGACAATTCCACTTCAGCTGGCTTTCTTCTTATTGTTTCCTGCCTTGAGAAATCGACGTTTGCTGACCTTTGGCCGCTCCTTCTAGCGCTACAGTGACTCTGGTCATCGCCGTTGCCCCCTGTATTCAATTTTGGTTGCAACATATAAATTCTCCGTAATAAGACGAGAAGACGAGAGAAGAAAATCTCCATACCATCCTTGATAGAAACACCAGCGCCCTAGCGATATCATACAACCTGAGAGAACCTAAGCTCGCCCACGCTTCGTACACGCCACTTTGAGATGCCGCGTCAACCTACAGACTCACCCTCAGCCAACCTATCTGACCTGCCTCCTATTCCTCCAGCTACCGGGAGAGACGGGCCCATCTCTGCACGACCTACGGCCTCGAAACCTAGCAGGTTCAGTCAGTTATTTTCTACCTCTCCCAAGGCGGCAAAGACGGCCTCGACAGACCAGCCTATATCACAGCCCCTACCTATGATCTCTGTCTCCGGTGCAACCACAGACGGCACCACCATGGATTCCGCTCCTAAGACGATCTTTGAACCCCCTTCCGCCGAGGATGCTCGACGTATAGCCCGACAGCATGCCCAGTTCGGCCCTCTCGGCCACCCTTCTCATCGATACGTCTCCAAGCACTACGGGGGCCAATTTCCTGAACCAGTGATGGACGAACCCCCTTACTATTACCTTCTCACAACCTACATCAGCTACCTTATCCTAATAGCATTCGGACATGTGCGTGATTTCTTTGGCAAGCGTTTTCAGAGCGAGAATTACAGGCATCTGAAGCCACAGAACGGCTACGCAGCGCTGAACAGCGATTTTGATAACTTTTACGTACGCCGTTTGAAGCTAAGAATCAATGACTGCTTCGAAAGACCTGTCACGGGTGTGCCGGGAAGGTTTATTACCTTGATTGACCGTGTCAGTGATGACCATAACCGTCACTTCCGGTTCACTGGTACTTATACCGACACTTTGAACATGAGCTCGTATAACTACCTTGGTTTTGCCCAATCTGAGGGTCCATGTGCGGATGCCGTGGAGGAGACCATCAGGAAATACGGAATAAGTGCCGTCAGCACCAGAAGTGAAGTCGGCACCCAGGACCTTCACCTCGAGGTTGAAGACCTCGTTGCTAAATTCGTTGGGAAAGAATCGACCATGCTTTTCTCCATGG